CCCTTGCCTCACGGTAGGTTCTTGATGGGTACCCATAAACGAAAATAGAGAGAAAGGCTGATAAACCTACTTGTCTCTTCAAATTATAGCGATGCCAATCTGTTCTGTAGTGATCGCGTTGAAGTTCAGCTGTCTTGAAAACAAGATGGCAAGCAACACAGGTGAATCCTGTTGACGGATCCAACGACATGACTTTTGCTGACTAAAATGTTTTGAATACCATTATGAAGTTCACGACGAACAAAAAGAATTTAAACATTAAATAAAAAAAGTTATTACGCTCATCAGAAACTTCCACGGTGAAAACCATGAATGAAAAAGGGAGACAACAAATATCAACTCTTTGTTCATTTACAACAACGATATAACAAACCAGAGGAGTCAACGAAGAAGAACAGCTAGCATCTTTATAGATCTCCAAGAGCAATAACAATAAAACCTTCAACAACGTGGAAAACACTTCCAACAGACACACTCATAAGGAACATGCAATTACCAACAATCACTTTAGGCTTTGATCTTCGACCGCAACTCCGATTCGTCCTCGTATTCGATTTCAACGTGTGGTCGCCTTCTTTTGTATGCCTGCAACAAATTCAATTATTCAGAACACTCGAGAATTACGGGTGACTGCTACCAATTTAGGCTATAGCTCGTATAACTTCGTATAAGTGATTGGAAAAAGACAAGTCTATTTTCAATTCGCTGTCTATGGCGAATTGAACTGCTGTATATATAATTTATAATACCAGATTAGTCCCCCGTCAACCGCCGGGACCTTCCTTTCCTGCGCAAGCTTTCTATCCTCCGCTATGGTCCCTTCCTCCTGTGACACCAACACCTCCTGGAAGTGACGCGTATGCAACACAATGGTGTTTCATACAGTAGAAGGGACACAATCATGATATGACGGTAGATTTTTCGCTTCCCTTCCTCATCCTCCCTTCCTCTCTCCACTGCCCTCCAGCTGCCACTGCAGCACCATGTGGAATGAACGGAAGTGTGCTAAGCAGGTGTTTATATAGCCCTAAGAGTGTTATCACAACTATCCTGCTACAAAACATTGATATCTCAAATCCTGTAAGCTACCCGATTTGTTAGCGGTTTGTTTATCCCATGAGCTTCCTTCTCACTCACTTCATTTTGCGGACGGACACACACATACATACACACACACACACACGCACACACACACATACAGATACACAAACCGACACACAAAGTTAGCGCTTTATATAATAGAAGGATTTTCCTACCGCAATGGACCTTGATGTGTTCCGTTATCACAGTCATTTAAAATATATAAATTATTTGCGGTGATAGAAAGCGACAGCCGTGCACCCGAGATATGTCCCGAGCGCGCGTAAGCCACTGCAAAGGGAAATAAGCTTAGAGAGAACCAGAAAAAAAAATACAGACCTTCTTTTTGAGCTGCTTCTTCTTACTGTCCGACTTTTTCGGTTTCTTCTTCGGTGGTTCTTCAGATGTTTCGCCTTCACTCTCTTCTTCCCTCATCCTCGTCGCTCTATAAATAAGAACACAATATTCGAAAGCACCACTAATTATGGGAGCAGAAGAATTCAATGCCAACCTCATCCGGTCGCTGCCAATCGTCTTCCTCGCTATCGGTCTCAGGAGGGGACCACTGCCCACCAGCTGTGTCCTCGATGTCATCTCCCTCTTCCTCATCCGACGACTCGAAATCAGCCACGTACTGCATTCGGCCCCCATCCTTGAAATTCATACCTTTTAATTGACGCAACGAACAACGAACTATAACGCACTAATTCACAAAAATTGATGAGAGGCGTATAAAAAGGTGTTCAATGAAACGCTGTTTATACGTTCTCAATTTCCAATTTATCTCATTCAATTTAAAAATCCAACTCAGTCGGTATTATTCCGAGCTGTAACGTTACAATGGAAAGAAAACAGCAAATAACAAGAGAGATCCCTCTGATTGTGACGTCATCAAATCAGTGTTCAAAGATTCTACAAACTCATAAATAGTATGAAACATTCAAGGTTCACTGCGAATAAGACTTACCAAGTGGAAACTTTTCACCGCATTAAGATTTGCTATCGAGAGCCTTGGAGACTCAAAAAGCATGATTTTCTCCAAGATGAAGGGAATAATCTTCAGATTCACCGTACCTCATCATCCTCCACTTCAACTTCTTGCTCTCGTTCCATTGTTGTTTCATTCTCATCGAGCATATGTTCAAAGGCTTCCTGACGGAAGTTGTAAATATCCCCGTAGGTACCTTGCCTAAAAAAATTCAAATAGACAAGAAATCATAACTAAACTTCAACGACGAACCTTGAGAAGAGTAAAACTTACCGTAACCGTGAAAGCAGCTCACTTTCAATAGCCTTATCCAACTTGGCAGCAACTAATGCCTTTTCTTCACGGCGTTTCTCACGTCGTTCTACTTTACGCCCAACCGGTATGATTTTCTTTTGTCTGAAAACTTTTAACTAAATTTGAACAGAGATGTTAGCTCTGTTGTGCGGGATACTTACGTCCCCTTGAGAGCCATTTTTCTCATACGAATAAGATACTGATGGATTCGAATGAGACGGGCTTTGCATTTGTGACGAACGTATTCACTCCAGTGGAGAAGAGCATCACTGATTTGTTCCAAGGCCTGGAAATTCGTCGGTGATTGAAGAACAAAAGGAGAGCTGTATGCCATAAAAATGTATATAAAATCGTCAGAATTCAAAGACTGCAAAAATTGAACTAAAAAAGAGTACTTTTGTAAAAAAAAGAAAGGAAGTGCTGTTGGCCAGATCTTGATACCTTTATTATGTCCTTGACAAGTTTCGTCTTTTCCCATAGCCTTCTTGGATAATGACTTCTTTCGATAACTTTACAGTACAAATAGCAAACACCTAAAAAAACAGTTGAAACGGCGAACGTTCCGAGAGCAGTAATCATCGAAGGATCCATTATCTCAATCGCCTTTCGTAGATAGATAGATTTAGAAATGTCAATCTTCCCTATTCACACTCCACTGGTGGTGCTCCACCCCACCCCCACTTCAATAGACAGTATGGAGCTTGAGCAATGGTTGTAAGAAATCAGGTCTGAACAAATTTCAAGGTTCCGCTAAAACAAGACTTTTATGGAAGAGCGCATTTGAAGCTAGCCAGCGAAAACACTGGAGAACCTACGAAAAAAGCGTTTTCTTCACATAAACGAAGCAATGAAGCAGCATGAAACGATGGATAATGAACTCTCATACCTAGCCAATTATCATAGACCCATGGAGCACACTAATTTGTGTAATGGATTTTAAAATGGCAATGTAGCATTTAACTACGATTCTGAAAGCTCACCACAGGCTGGTAATGAATTCGTGAATTTCGACTCATTCCAACAGCAGGCACGATCATACAACCGCCCACTCTAATTTGACCCGTGACAGCACGTGGCAGAAAAGATGTACCCAAAAACGTGATACCTCAATCCCTTATGCGACTTTATGGATAGGGACAAGCTTAGTTACAGAAGCGAATAGAGCAACACTCATCCCACTCTCATCACTAGAGTTAGTTGCAGAAGATTGTACCATTGTTAATCTGTTGTCCCATATGATTCACATACTGCTTATTGTTAGACAACTTAGAGGAATGTTGTCGAACCCGGCTAAGTGAACGACTTCTCGATAAGCGGATGCTCTATCATAGAAATTGAAACAAATTTCCGACTGGAAATGAACTCTTTGAAAATATGCTACACTCACCATTTTCTTCCCTAACTGTCGCATACTGAGAATTCGCTAAAGGACAAGACGCACGATTACACAGACCCGTCAAATTCATCTCATTTCGGCAAAACAAGGTTGGTGGCCTGAAATGCAATAGTTACACAAGTGAACAACTCTACTGAAATGTCGCAAGAGCTTTGTCAGTACAACAAAAAACCCTTTAATTTAGTATATCACCACTTAGTGATAGATATTATTATATGCATGCGTCTTTTCACAAACTCTTGTACTTCAATCAATTTTCGTCTTGCTGGCAGCCTTGGAACTGCCTTATAATTATCTAGAAACACACAGGACAATGACACAACGCATCTTCAAAAGGACTGAGTGGCCATTTCCTGAATGGTGATGAGCTGCTTGAGACTCAGATGCAGGTGGAATGAATAACGGTCAAAGATTTCATCCACGGAGGTCGTACTTGTCCACTTTGGTGAATGGGTTGCAGGTGGGAACCGAAAAAATAGATTAGGAAATAAACAGCGTGAGACTTCCACCTACCCCGTCCCCCAGATTTGATGAAAATTAGATGCCGAGTTGGGAATGCTTCAGATTGAGCAAGATTCGCGGGACTACTTGATGCACACCATCAATCGAGAAGATTGGTATCCTGACTATGCGTAAGGGGCTCGTGCCAAAAAAGTCCGTGAAGAATGGTATTTCGAATTGGCAATTTATTCGATAGGCCGATGTCAGACTTTGCGAATCGCGCGATTCGCTAGCGTCTGCGGTCGCGTCGCGGCCAGTGAATCACTCAATTGGCTGGTACCGCAACGCGACCGCGGACGCTAGCGAATCGCGCGATTCGCAAAGTCTGACATCGGCTCATGAGTCGTCTTCACTCTGCACTCGAGCGCATACATGCATGGAAAGTACGTTATTTGTTGTGCACACGCACGACTACTGCTTGATTAGAAGTGCAAATGTTAATGAACAGCTTCGAGGGGACCTGGATCTATCCCAATAAAGAAATAAGGGTCACCACCAACAGTAACAAAAATGTCGCAGAGAAGGAAGCTTCAGGGTGGGTGTAAAAGCGAAGAGAAACAACTCGCAACCAGGGTTTCTTTTCTGTAAAAATCGGAGCTACGGGAAATCAGCAGACGCCCCTTCACTGGATTAAACCTGAAAACTTGCATACAGTGGGTGTGATATAAACAAGGCAGTTGTCAGGAATTCCCACAAAGCAGTAATGGGGATGGTTCTACGAAGTTTTGGTATAGGAACGAAAAGGCCGAGCTTTCTCCTCTATCCGCTTGCTCAATTTTTTTTAGATAACCTCTAAAGGTTTTTTAGAGAAGATTTATCTAACCGATTATCACGCGTAAGCGAACTTCGTACGACCACTGTGAACTAAAAGAAGGAACACCGGTCCATTCCAAGAAAGGGGCATCGTGATGCACGTTTTCGCGACACTCGAACATTTCAGGCTTTTCACGACATCTCAAAAGTGACTGCCTCTCACCCCCCAGCCCCCGTCTACGCTAGCTACAACTTCCGCCCTGGCTTCGATTTTAACCCCCTAGCTTCCTGGAAAAACTGCATCATGATGCCCCCTGACTGGAATAGACCCAAAAAATCTTCCGACAAGAAGCTCACCATGCCTTGAAGGCACACTGGCCTTTACGAAGAATATTCCATGTGATATCGTCACACTGCATCCCATGTAATGATTCGGGCCTGTTTTACCTGTAAACAAGATCCGAATCCGACACCGATACATCAAAGACAATTTAGATGCTCCTTCTCAGCCTGACATGGATACATCGAATAAAAGAGAAGAACTCCATCAAACATTAAAAATATAAAATACATGAAGAACCTAATAAAAAGTATTACGTACTAGCGATCGGAGGTATACACCGAGATGCTCGCCTCTTTGAAAAAATTTCCCGCGCGCGCACGTTCAAAGAAACTAGCACTGGAGCGAGCTTTCAATTAGCTGGAGAGCTTGGAGACACCGCAGTTTCGGCTCTTTTTGTCAGATTTTCAGTTTGTTCTTCGTAGGAATGTGGTCGTACACACGAGAGTGCTGATATGGAAGCGTCTTTAGATAGTGACGTAACGTTCTCGAGGAATTGAGTTTAGAACACACACGACAACTGTAACATGAATCAATACATACACATGTGGTGTCTAATAACGAGCATCACGATCGACATCATTTATGGTTAAATGGAGATCGTGATGTTCGTGTTCAGACTCCTAAACAGCATATTCACCTACTTTATTACTCGTAATGATCCGTTTCTTCAACAGTAATCGCTCTATAAAACAAACAGAGTAATGCACACATACATTAAAACTATCATAGCAAGACGTGTTGTGATCACGTCAGAGATACTTAAAGGATCTGTGGTGCGTATTTCATGTGAAAGAAAGGCGTAGAAATAGCTGAACACGTAGCACATCGCGCGCGTTGTTGAATGTGTATAGTTTGGCCTTAGAAGGGATGTGTTGGGATTAGCATACTGTAATATTGGTCGCGAAAGGCACGCGCTGGTTCGGGAACGATGCCAGTGAGAGCTGTTGGGAGCTGCTTGATGTTCGATGGATGAGAACAGATTCGGAATCGGATACTCAGATTGGTATTCAGAGCGCGGTACACAGATGGTGTTGGTAACTCGTGCCTTGGGATGCGCCACGCATTCAACCTCGTAGCAGCATCGGTTGCGTATTTGACGTCCATCAAGATCTATCCGGTGAATAAATCGGTATTCTTGTCCAGTAGATCTGATCTGACACCTGTTACCCGACCCTGGAAGGAGAACGCTGGCCTAGCCTGAACACATACGTATGGTCTCAGGGCCAGTTAGCGGTAAGCGAGTGCTGAACTTCTCAAGGCATATCCTCGGTTGATCGCCAACCGTCTTCAGTGGGTTTTGCCCTTCTTGCGTTCTCCTCAATATGGCGGACCAGCCACTCGAGGTGGATTCGAGCCGTTACTACATCACACCACCGATTAAGAAAAGGATGGTGAGAGCCGTTGCCATGAAGAAGTCATTTGCAGCGGAGTTACAACCAGACCCGTTTTCGGAAATCGGAACAAAAGCTGACTTCCCACGAGATTAGGAATTGGCGGTCCGAAAAAGAAGAGCAGGAGAACCCATGGATTGAGGGCTGGACTTCGGGGTCACCTACCGCTCTGAGGTTTAGCGATTGTCAAAGGGAATTCGAACACTTGTGGTACGACTTGAAGAGTTTTGAGAGAGAATCAGGCTGAAGCGCTCACTGAGCACTAACAACTGATGTCCTTGTTAGCTGTGGAAGGCTAGCCTGAGCATTTTTCGTCGACAAGTGTCAGCACAGGCTGATTTCAGGGAGTTTTTCTGCCCTCCTTTGGCTTTAAAAATCCCTGACACTACTTTTTGGCCCACCATCTCCTCGACTACGGTAGACTGCTATCATCCAAGGCCACTCCCCTAGTTGCCTGAGTTCGATTTTTCATTCGAAGATCTGCTTCATCGCAGTGCGGGTGATCTCGGGTTACCCTTAAACGGTGAAATTACCCGTGATGGTCAACATATAGTCTCCGGTGAACTCCCAAGCACTCCCTGTTAGCTCCCACTGGCCTCGCGGTCACTACTAAATACTAGCTATCTGTAAGTGCACATATTATTGTACATCGAAAGTCTAAAGCACTGAAATTAAATGACAATATTAATAGCAGATTAAGAGAACAAACAAAAAGAGATGCTGCGAGATGCTAGAGAGCGAACGACCAGCGCGCGGAGATCAGTCGAATTGGGCGGAGCTTCTACTGTGTTTGAAATTACCCCCGTCGAGCGAAGGCGAAGGGATAAAATCAATTAGCTATCAATAATGCACAAGATAACAATGGCAATGCATAAATGAATTTGGCGTTCGGAATACATGAAAGATTAGTACGGTCGAGACCAGAGAAGGCCAGCACCGGACAACCTGAAAAGAACGTCTCTGTTAGGTTGGAAATTCAGGAAGTAAATAGAAATAAAGCAGACCGCTAGCCCTATGAGTAATGCTATATCGATTTTTAGCACGCGCGTAAAAAGGAATTAGTCCGCAGTTGTTGA